TATATATATATATATACAATCAAGTAATGAGCCAGCATTTATCTGAGGACAATATTCTCATTGTTTGTTTTTTTTGTCAGTAAGTTACATGCATGTCTGAAATATGAGCATAGGAGACAAAGATTGATCTGGCATCATATGAATTTTTTTTGAGTGGTTGACTAGTAAATTATTAAATTTACTTAAATGAATAAAACTTGGGGCAGCACGGTGGCACAACTGGTAGAGCTGCTGCCTCTCAGTGAGCAGGTCCTTGGTTCAAACCCCGGTCCAGGGGCCTTCTGGGTGGAGTTTGCATGTTCTCTCCGTGCATGCGTGGGTTTTCTCCGGGTACTCCGGTTTCCTTCCACAGACCAAAAACATGCATGTTAGGCTGATTGGTGACTCTAAATTGTCCCTAGGTGTGAATGAGAGAGTGAATGGTTGTTTGTCTCGTTTGTCTCTATGTGGCCCTGTGATGGATTTGCGACCCGTCCAGGGTGTACCCCGCCCCTCGCACAGTGATTGCTGGACATGGGCACCAGCGACCCCCGTGACCCAAAATGGAATAAGCGGGTAAAGATAATGGATGGATGGATGGATGAATAAAACTTGCTCCATTGTATGGAGAGTGTTTTGTTACCATTTTATAAATGCCTAACCATGCTTTGAAAAGTGTTTTTATTACATAGTCGGCCTATTTACCAAGTTTTTTTAAATCACTTATAAAAGTACTGTTATTATAAAGTGGCATCAACTTAATGTCTGGTATAATATTATGGATTTAGGAATTGTGAGGTGTGCATCAAAGCATAAAACTATTTAGTTTAAATGTTTAACAATTTGTCCTTTTTTCATCTTCAAAAAAATAAAAATCACTGCTGACCCCAATTCTCATAAACTGTCAAGTGCAAGTGCCATACTGTGTCCCAAGGGGCTTCTAGCAAATATAGAGCAGTGCAATTTCCAGGTTATTACAGTTTCTGAATGCTGAGTTCTGCACATTGCCTTGAATCCTGCAGGACATTCATACTCGCATGCAGAGGTCACCACAAAAAAAGAGGAAGCAATATCACAAAAATAAAGGATATCAACATAATGCTGATTTGTTTAGCAGGACCTGGATCAGTTAACACATAATGTGAGTTTGTTTTAACAGCCAAACTGGGTGCTGTCCGACACATTAATTCAAGTTGCTGATTTCAGTTTGAGGGGAGAGGCAGAAGCGCTTTAAGGGCAGCAGGAATGATTTGTTGAAAAGATATTGCCTGCCACTTTTCATGATAAGCTAATAAAGTTATAGCTGTTTTGGTCAAAACAGGGCAATTGACGTCATAAATGATTTCCTGCAACATCGAGCGAGACTTCTCACAAAAGATGTGAAGTCAATAGTCAAAGTCAAATTTATTAATAAATAAATTTAAAAACTGGAGCTGACCAAAGTAAAAGTTCAGGAAAAAAAGTAGTACATATGGTAAAACTGCTTAATTAAATACATTTAAAATAGTTAGAAATTAAAAAGTGTTAAGGGTAACACTTGGTTACAACCACAGTAAGTTTAAGTCAATATTTGTAAAACCATCTGACAAAATATAATTGCAAATCTCATAACTTGTTTTTTTTCTCTGTGTATTAACAAAAAAAGAGGTACAGTAGTCCCTCATTAATTGCAGGGGTTAGGTTCCAGATCCCACCCCACCACCCCCGCAATAGATGAAAATCTGTGAAGTAGCAGCAATATATTTATTTTAGTATAAATGTATATAGATATAACAATTGCAATAATGTTT